CTGTTGAAATAGGAGTTGAATCTCCTGAGATTCCGATATGGGTCTCTTTCCCTTCTTTATGGCCACATCTTTTTCTCCTAAAATTCTATATGGCTTGGCTTCCATTTTTGGTAAGCCTCTTAAAATTGATTCGGCCACGTCTTTGGGTTCTAGTCCGTCTGTTGCTAGGGTTTTAGTTGAGTTGGATATCACAAATTCCTATCCTGGTCGCATTTGGTTGGGTTCTGAAAAGCTTGGATACGTGCAACATGTTGACATGGAGGAGTTTCCTGTTTTTTGTGGTGCTTGTCGTTTCTTCGGCCATGCTGTGGGTGAATGCCGGGCCAAAACTCCGGTTTTAGATTCGTCTGTGTTAACTAAAACTGTTGAACCTAATGCTAAAATTGTTTCCCTGGTTTTTGTGGATTCGACTGCTGGGATTCAAGATGACTTAATTGTGTCTAATTTGGTGAATTCTGATTTAGATAGGGAAGAAATAGTCATTCCTAATGTTGGCGTTGCTAATTCTGTTCTTGTTTCTAAAGATCTATATCCTAATGCGTTGCCTTTCTTACCCTCTGTTTTGGAGAATGCTTGTATGGAGGGTTTGCCGGGTACTCCTTTGTTAATTTATTCTCTTCCAGAAGAAACTGCTATTGTTAACCCTTCTGTGAATCCTGCTGCGGATTCTGGGTGTTTGGTGGCTTTGATGGATTCGAATCATTTGTTGTGTGATGTGGTTGTGCAGCCTGCTGGTTCGATTGAAACTATTAGTGTTCTGCCTAACCCTGTGATTGTTGAGCACGTTGAACCGATTCGAAATGCTGTAATTTCTGAGTTGCTAGATGGTGAAAGGGATGATCTTACGGATGTCCAAGGCAATTTGGTTGTCTCTCAAAAGTTGGTTGATGTTCCCGTGAATGTAATTGCTTCCCATTCTTTATTGCTTCAGGTGGGTGGTTCGGCTGGTGTGGATGTTAGATCACATGGTGATTGGCTGCTCAATTCGTCTAAGTGTGAATCTGATTCTGATTCCTATTCAGACCATGTAAATGAATTTAAAATGGTTCGTGATAAACCTATTGCTGGTACTTTTCGTGGAGAATTTTGGGGTAGAGGCGGTAGAAGAAGATAATTCGAGCTTTTTCTGTTGATCGGATTGATTTTCGTTTCGAATGTTGGTTGCTGGGCGACGAGGAGATGTGACTGGGGCTCGTCTCCTCGTCGCCTCCTTGTGGCAACCTCTATTGGATGGTCCTTGTGTGGTTTCGAGGATTCTGTAGCCTCGGTCGACTACTGAGCCCCCAATTGTTTTGGAATTCTTCCAGCTTGTTTCAGGGGTTTTTAGCTATTAGTGGTTGTCTTTTTGTGGTTTTTTTCCTTATTTTTTGCTGATGTAACCGCTATTTTGTTTTTGATTAATATATTTGTGTTTTATTTTTTTATATAAAAAAAATGTGCTCATGATTTGAAACGGTGTAACCTAATAACCTATCATTCTCCCGCAACTCTCGTTGTTCATCTCTCACTTTCTCTCCCGAGTCATCTATCTCACTTCTCTTCGGCACATGCTTATGAGTTCATGCCTCTCTCTTAGTGTTGCAAGGAGAATTCGTACTTGACTAGCCCTAATCTATATTCAAGATCTATACATCTTGAAATTTTACTATTTCCTTATTAGTGCTGCAGTGCATACATTAATTGTGGCACAAAATTTAGAAATTTCATCTACTTGTTAATATATATGATTCGTTTCAAAATAATATTTCTATTTATATAGCTAATATCTCTTTATCTGAATTTATAAGCTCATTGTTCAACCAATGGAGCAGAATAACTTAAATTTTGAGAATAATTATAAGTTATAAGTGCTAACATATAACTTACATTTTTATAAATTTTAATGATTTACTAAATTAGCATGATAAATTAAATAGTTGAAATTAAAGTCTATGGTCTAATGGGATGATCCCCAAATCTAATTTGGACAATTTTAAGAGTTTGAGCTAGGGCTATGCTAACCACCTAATTCATGACTTTAGATTTTCCCCATGTATTCATGCATGTCCTTATGATTAGGGTGAGATTAACTAAAGAATTTAAGGATCAAATGTTGCTTTAATCCACCTAGCTAGGAGCCAATTAGATCCAATTAATGTAAATGGACTAGGAATGGATCCAAGATTTTCACCACTGCGATTTTATTGTTCACCCCTGTGATTTTATTGTGCTTTTACTGTTTACAGTCACAAAATAGAATGGTTCTCTGTGTCTAGACTCCACACGTAATAATATCTCCCAAGTGTGGTCATACACCAAGTTCTTATAAGGCTATTTAAGTTCTATGATCTTTACAATCTAATGATCTACGGCTTAGAGTATGCGGGTCAAAACACATAGGGTTAAACCATTTAAATATCAAAAACGCATGGCCCTAAATATCCATGAATCAATGTTCAATCCTCTAGCTTCATAAGATTTATTTGATTAGTTTCAGTCAATCTAGTGTTTATGGGTCTACCTAAGATTTATTAAGAAAGATGGGTCAACCATTGAGTTGGACGTCTACTTAAGTTTATAAAATGTCATTCGTATCAATATTAGGCGTATAAGACTTCGGAACATATATCACTCGATTGGAAGTCTAAGCTCCCAACTAAGAGGCTAAGGTGAATCGTACCAAAGAATTATAAAGAAAATAACATAAAAATTTGTATTTGTGGAGCACCAAGGTTCACAAATGGATATTGTTAATAATTTTCCATCTCCTATGATAACCATCTATTTTTTTTTTTTTCCATACTATGTCATTATTATATAAATGCCATCAAATAAATTATTTTTGAAAAGACTAAATTAGTTAACAAGAATATATAATTTTGATTGGATATATTTATAAATTAGGCTTTGTTTGGAACTATTTTTTTACTACTTCTTAAAGCAACTTTTTAGTATAAAAATTAAAACTTTTGTACATAAAACCTACTTTAAGAAGCAGCAAATCTTATTATGGGCCACTTTATTTTTTAATCTAAAACCTTTATAATAAGAAGAAGTTACACAATAATATATATGTTTAAGTATTTGTTATGAGACTAAATTCAGCTTCATTTGCAAAAATCCACACGAGCTTTTCAGCTCATGTATAAAAATCCCACTCAACTATATTAAGGCTTCATTTAGAATAGCTTCTTAACTGTTTTCTAAAGTAAATTTTTAGTACAATTTTTTTTATTCAAATAACTTTATAATAAAAAATTTGTTTTAAAAAATAGTAAAAAAAATTGTCCGAAATAAACGCTCACTCTTGAATATACTCAAAAACATTATAAGCTAATCAAAATTTATGTGAATTATAACTTACATGAACCACTTGATTACATCGGAATCGTTGCTTCTAATACTATTAATAATGGTGGAGCCGAGAGCGAAAAAGATATCCGATCTTCGAAGCTAGAAACAATGTCGGGCTGAGGAAAGGGAGGCAAGGGATTGGGAAAGGGGGGAGCGAAGCGCCACCGCAAGGTTGTCCGAGACAATATCCAGGGCATAACTAGGCCAGCGATTCGCCGCCTTGCTCGCCGCGGCGGCGTCAAGCGAATCAGTGGCCTGATCTATGAGGAGACGCGAGGCGTCCTTAAGATCTTTCTTGAGAACGTCATCCGCGATGCGGTAACCTACACCGAACACGCTCGCCGGAAGACCGTCACTGGATGTTGTGTATTCTCTCAAGCGTCAGGGTCGCACCCTCTATGGTTTTGGTGGTTAACTTATGCCGATTCTGAATAAGTACGGTTCTTAGGGTTTGTAATATGTCTATCGTTCTGTTTACGATATATCGAAACATATCGTATTTTGCAATGGAATAGTGCTATGTTGGTCTTTTTTGGGGGTTTCACTGTTACTGTTTAGTGTAATGCTAACCACTGAAGGGGATTGGAAAAAAAAACAAAAGTGATTCGTATATTTGAATTATTAATGCAATACACTTTACTTGATTAAATAATAATAATAATAATAATAATAATAATGATGGTGGAGCCAAAATTTTATTTTTTACTTGAACACAAAAATAACTTTAGAAAGCTGTCCAAAATGAAGCCTAAATCATTTAAATAAGAAATGACTTTCAAATCTTTTAAATTAAAATGAAATGTAATTATTTTTTAAATTGAAGCGTTTAAATTAAACAATCTAACAATTAAACTTCGTAATAAGATAACTTTCATGTTATTTTTGATTAATTACTATCTGTCATTAATAAAAAAGGGTGATTAATCATTAAAAAAGTGCTTTTGATATAAATTATGGTTTAGAAATTATAATTTCACAATCAATTGTAGTTTTACATAAAAAGTAAAGCCAATATTACAGCCAATCGTGATGATCTAGCCATCTAAATTCATTTCCTTTTCCTGATAATAATAATTTCTCGAGTGTTAAGGGTAGACATGTAAATAAGTCTGGCTGAGCTCGTGTCACCTCAGGGTTGAGTTTGATTAATTAATCGTATTTGAACTTGAGCTCGAGCTTAATTCTATGAATTTGAGACGGCTCACAAGATGTGGCTCATTTATTATAGAAAAGAATATCATTTTTATTAAATTAATTATTATAATATATAACATAATAAAAATATTAAAATTTAAATGAGAAATAATAAAAAATCATTTAAAGAAAATAAAAAAGAGATGATTTTTAAATATGTTTAACAATTTTATACTATGGTTGAATTCTAATATATTTTAAGAACGGTTTTGTATTATTATTTATTAAATGAGACAACTTAAGAGCTCACAAGATTTAGGTCTCAGCTGGCTTAAGCTTTGCTCGTTAGCTATTTGAGCTCGGATCGTGAGACATTTATCAAGTTGAGATGAGTCGACTCATGAGTTAACTTGATTTTGACTTCGTTTGAGACGAACTTTTTATTGCTTTTTAAAACTTTTTTTTTTTTTACTTAAATTCTATATTAAGAAGCAATAAAAATATCATCTCAAACGAAGCCTGTGTTACACCCCTAATCACATTCAGGCTCTGTTTGGGACGGCTTTCCAACTACTTCCTGAAGTAGCCTTTTAGTACAAAAATTAAAACCTTTGTATTATAAAACTGCTTTAAAAAACATTAAAAAAACCGTCTCAAACGAAGCTTCAGTATCATATAAAAAAAAAGCAGCATTTTTTCTCTAACCATTTTCTGTCATTAATGGAGGACCCTCCTCACCTCTACGTGGAAGCAGGTGCCACTGCCTTCACTGCAATAATCTTCTCTTCTCCATTCTTCAGTTTCAACTTTATCTCTAAATCAACCACATCATCAACCTATTCAAATTAATTATATATCAGCAAAGAAACGTATGAAATAACTAATAATTTTAGCACATTTGCTACTAATATTTTTGCATGAAATGTCAGTATCATTTGAAACGCCTTAAATGAGCTGCATGACTCATTCAGCTTGGTATGAATAAGAAAATGGTTCATTAATGAAGATTATTTATGCAGATCATATAATGATTAGTTTATTCATTATGTGTGCTGGATATGCCCCCACGCTGTATCTTAATTAAATTTGATGGATATGACACAGTGTTAGTATCTGCTACAGTGAAGAATTTATGGGATGGCTCTCTCCTTGGTTAGATATTTTTTATAATTAGCCATTTTAGGCTCTGGTTGGAGAGAGATTATTCTATGAGGACGTGGAATACAGCTCTATATTCGGATACTAATCAGAATGAGTCATGTCAGCTATACCAAGCCGCGGTATCGCGCGGTACCAATGCTCGCAGCGGGCTTAGGCATCTGGACGGGGTTCCGCTTCCGCACAGAATAATTTTTCTTAGTTGGGATTGCTTTTTAGCTGCTTCGTTTTTCAACAGCGATTATAATTTCATTTGACTATTGATTTCTCATAATTTTTTTTAAAGTTTTTGTCATAAGAAAATATTATTTGCAACCATAGTAACTAAGGCTTCATTTGGGACGAATTTTTTACATCTCTTAAAGTGATTTTTTTTATATAAAAATTAAAAAGTAGGAAGAAAGTTCTCCCAAATTGAAGCCTAAGGCTTTGTTTTAGTGTTTTTCTTTGCTGATAACAATCAAAATTTATATTTGACAACTATTTTTTCATTATTTCAAAAAATTTTGATGCTAGAAAATTACTTTTTATAGCATTTTTTAAAAAAGTTAAATTTTTAAGTGTAACTTTACGATTATATTTATAAAAAATTGTCGTTATTCCAACCAGGTTCTAAGTTATTTTTCTCAATCACTTTTTTAAAAATGCTATTACTATCCAAAAGAGAACCTTAATCAGCCATTTTAATACTGTTGGAACAAGTATAAATTAATAAAAAAAAATTAAAAAAGAAAGAGCAATTAAATTACCGTATTAATTAAGGAATCCACCCCCTCTGCATTCTTATCAACGAATACAGCGAGTTCCTCCAATTTGATAGCCGCCTTCTTCATTCTTACACTAGGAAGCGCCTCAATTACTTTTCCGGCCAACTTCTCGGCCGCCTCAGCCACTTTCTCCGCCTCCTCCACCATCCTCTCAGCCAACTCCACCGCGGTCTCGGCCACCTCAACTGCTGCTTCCACCGTCTTCTTCAATTCTACCATCCAACATTCAGATAATTAAGAGAGCTAATAATAATAATTTATTGGATATCTTAAGATAAAAGAGATGATAATTACTCTGTGTTCTGATAACTCTTCTGTATAACGGAATGGCCAATAGAACTACGGATCCCAACACCAACTTTGCCCTATGCAAAGAAAATAGAAACAAATTAATTAAGAAGCTTATAATTAACGAGTAGTTAATAACAAATTACCATGGAGGGATGTTATTTAGGGCCAAGATCTGAAGATTCCGACCGTTATTGCTTTGAACAGGCGGATTCTGACCGGAGCTTATTGATCTGTAAATAGGATATATCGAAGATCAAAATCTGAATGAGAAAAGCAGAGAAAATATATAAAATCGCTTACGTTGAGTCTCCTTGACTTGTTGAGGGGGCCGATTCGTCGCTTGAAGATTGCATGGTTTGGAGGCGGAGCTGTGGGGAAATGGAAGAGAGAAGGGGAGCTGTGTTGATTTTAGAGAGTCTGAGGGATCCAATTGAGTTGATATAATGGTCAATTTTCAATGCGGCTGTGCTTATAAATAAGTGAGAGAAGGCGTTGAGACTGGTTGAGGGTTCAGCTTTGAACCGGCCGGTACGGGATCGGGTGAAGGGCACCGGGAAACGGGAATCGGATTATCACATTTTATAAAGTTGTTTGTGAAGTTGTTGTTAGAAAAATTTGTAGAAATCAATGGAGACGAAAAAAAACTTGATCGTCTCTAAAGACATGTCAAATCATCGAGAAATTTTTTTTGAAAGTGTACCTGAATCCATTGAAACGCAGAATCGATGTCTTCGATCTTCCACGTTTAAAGCGGTGTTGTCCAAGAGAGCTAGAGACCTCTTCTTTTCACTCAAGATGGAAAAATGAGGGAAATGAGAACTTAACCACTTAAACTGGGGACCACGATCATTTTATACATTAAGTGTAAATATTTTATTTCAGTCCATCATTAAAATAAAATAAATGATCGGCCTCTACACAAATTAATTTCATACAAAATTTAATTAAGTTGCCACATAAGCCAAATAATAACTTAATACTTAAATAGAACACGAATTTAATTGGCTTAATTTTAGATAGCTTATAATGTATAAACTTTACTTATATGTATAAGTATATGGGCTCACTTATAGAAATTCCCAACAAACTTGGGTTTCGCTTGTGACCAATTGTCAAAACAGTTTTTAAGAACAAAAATTAAAAATTTTGTACTGAAAAGTTACTTCAAGAAACAATAAGAAAGCCATCCCAAATGAAACCTTAGTAATTTTGATTGTAAAAAAATAACTTTTAATCACAAAATTTTTTAAATAGTAAGAAAGTATAGAAAAAGTAGTAGCTAAACGAAATTATTGTTGTTATCTAAAAAGCAAAGCAACGAGAAAGCTGTTCCAAAGAGATCCTTAGAGGATTCATCAACTATAAGGATTTGTTTGGGGTAGCTATAACTTTTTATTAAAGTAATTGTGAAGTTGATGTGGGGAAAGTAATTTTTATAAAGATTGATATAGTGCTATCAAAATTCGACAAAGACTTTCTTACAATATTACATATTAGTAGATCTACTTGCTAACAACACTTTCCTATCATAAACATTTCTAGAAAATAGTGAGAAAATAAGAAGAAAGCAGCAGCCAAATAGTTGTATGGTTGCAATGTAAGAAAAGCAATGAGAAAGCTGCCCTAAACAGACCCCAAGTCTCAGGAAATTGCTCAGTGGGGTCACCAGACCATCCAGAGGTGAATCGGAATGAGACATGTCACCCCATATACAACACTGATACACAACAAAAAAATTATGTGGCGCATCTTAATTCGTCTAAGGACAGCATCCGATGACCGCACAAAATAATTTCTCCTAAATCTAAGCAACCAAAAATCTAGCAAATGGTAAAAATAAATATTGATATATGTATGCTCAATAATATTAAAGCGCAACTACGATGAAAAATAATTATATATATATATATATATATATATATATATATAAGAAAATATATAAAATCGCTTACGTTGAGTCTCCTTGACTTGTTGAGGGGGTTGATTCGTCGCTTGAAGATTGCATGGTTTGGACGCGGAGCTGTGGGGAAATGGAAGAGAGAAGAGGAGCTGTGTTGATTTTAGAGAGTGTGAGGGATCCAATTGAGTTGATATAATGGTCAATTTTCAATGCGCTTGTGCTTATAAATGAGGGAGAGAAGACGTTGAAACTGGTGAGGGTTGAACTTTGAACCGGCCGGCACGGGATCGTGTGAAGGGAAACGGGAAACGGATTAGAACATTTTATAAAGGGGAGATTTACATACATACCACTTAATACTATGCTATTTACATATTTAACACCTAAAACTTTAATATTATATACATACCACCCATAGTTCATTTCTCCATTGATTTCTTACAATATTACATATTAGTAGATCTACTTGCTAACAACACTTTCCTATCACAAACATTTCTAGAAAATAGTGAGAAAATGGGAAGAAAGCAGCAGCCAAATGTTTGTATGGTTGCAATGTAAGAAAAACAATGAGAAAGCTGCCCTAAACAGACCCCAAGTCTCAGTAAATTGTTCAGTGGGGTCACCAGACCATCCAGAGGCGAATCGGAATGCGACATGTCACCCCATATACAATATCGATACACAACAAAAAAGTGATGTGGCGCATTCTGATTCGTCTCCGAACAACATCCGATGACAGCACAAAATAATTTCTCCTGAGTCTCTTAAGAAGCAGCCAAAAATCTAGCAAATGGTAAAAATAAATATTGATATATGTATGCTCAATAATATTCAAGCGCAAGTACGATTGAAAATAATTAACGTTAAAAAAAATAATATATATTTTTTGAGATATTTAGGTCAATTAAGACATATTTACACACACATCGCATACACAAGACTCGAACCCAATACCTCTTAATTAGTAGCCTAAGCTTCTAACCAACAGACCAAAATGAATTGTGTTAAAAGAAAAAAAAACAATAAAAAAATAAATTCACTGAATAAAAAACTCACGTCAAATCATCAAGAATAATTTATTGAAAATATATTTGAATCTTTTGAAATATAGATTATGGTTTTCATTCTTTTATGTCTGAATAGTGGTGTCAATATTTGGCACGATCCGAAAATCCGACTCTAATCCGATACAAAAATTTCGGATTCGAGTCAACCTGAACCCGAAACCGGTCGGGTTCGGATCCTGATTTTCAACCCTTTTTGAATTTCGGGTCGGGTTTGAGTTGACCCGAAAACGAGCATATAACCCGGTTTTGACCCGGAATTCTGTAGTTCAGCGTATTTAGGGGATTCGGCCATTCGACGTTGCTTCACAGCCAGCGAACTCCCGTCGTTGCTTCCGATCAAAATGTTGTAACTTTCGATCTGATAGGAAGGGAATGTCCTCCGTGGAGCGAAGCCGAACAGCAACGACGAAAAACATAAGATAAAAGCCGAACAACAACGACGCCTCTAAGCGCTCGAAACAGAGAAAGCTACCTTCGCAGCTTCGCTGCACTCGTTTGCAGCCCTGCTCAGCTTTCTGAGGTGTGATGTGCCCCTGTTCGGTGCTATAAGCCTATAACTATGAGGGTTTTATAGATTCTGAAGTCTGAATCCATTGTTCATTGGAAATCAGAATGCAGAGACGAGGACGACGACAACAAATCGTGGGCAGCCATGAGTACCCTGAAGTTCTGACGTGTATGAAATAACATTCTATACCTTAAGGAAGACAGAGAGCACAAGAATTCAAGATCCTGCAGCAGGTGCCTGCGGTAACCTGTAATGCATCTCAAACTTGTTTCCTGGACTTCAATGTAGTTCTGTAGGTCTTTGTTGTTCGAGGTAAATTAGAACAAAAATAAGCAGAAAATTAGGGGTGTCAATTCGGGTCAATCCGTCGGGTTCGGGTCGAACCCGACCCGACCTGTATCTAAACGGGTAAACCCGAACACGACCCGTTTTTTGCAAACGGGTCGGACATTTCAACCCGGACCCGGGGGCATCGCGGGCAGCGGGTGGAAACGGTGGGAAATTCAAAATTTTTTAAAATAAATGGGTTGCCGGGTTGACGGGAACCCGACCCGTTTTTCAAACGGGTCAAATATATGAACCCGAACCAGACCCGTTTATCAAACGGGTCGGGTTCAACGCGGATTTTCCGGGTCGGATCCGGGTCGGGTTTTTGGGTCGGGTCAAATATTGACACCCCTACATAAAATAATGATTGTGTTCATTGGATCGTTAAAGAGTTTTTCCTAAAATTGCAAAATGGAAATTGTTGCTTAAATAAATAAATAAATAAATAAAGAGAAAGCTACCTTCACAGGAAATATTATTACATACGGTGAAAAAATCAGAAATCTAGACGTATACCGAGCAATACAGAGTGCTTGGCACCAAGTTCCAGGTGACGCGGCGCGTGGATATTGGTCTCTGGACGCGTTCGGTGTCCGGACGTAATAATTACTCGCTTCACAGGGAGAAAACTTCCGTCGTTTCTTTCCCAATCAAAATATGCGGGTCGGGTTCGGGTCTAGAAAACAAACCCGTTTGTAAAAACAGGTAGGTCAAATAGTGACGGATCAGTTTCAATTTTTTGTAAATGTGATTATAAAACTGTTATGAAGGAAGTAACTTTTTTTAAAGCTATTATAGAAAAAAGCTTACTATAATATCAATTTCTTGAAAATAATAAAAAAATAGCGACCTAATAAAATTTATAATTATGATCTAAAAAGTAAAGCAGTAAGAAAGGTCATTTTAAATATTTTAAAAGAAAATTTTATCTGTTAAGGAATTACTTATTCTTGTTAGTAGAACTAAAATTAGATGGTTGAAATAGAGGAAAGCATTGGGCTTGATGTGTGATAGAAAAGTACTCCTCAAGCTTAAGAGAAAATTCTATAAGATGGTGGTGAGATCTGCAAGTCTTTATGGTGTAGAATGATAGCTAATAAAGGAGTAGCATACAATTAAGTTTAGTGTTGCAGAGTTGAGAATGCTCAGGTGAATGAGTGGTTTTACTCTTAGAGAATGTGAAATGAGCTCATACGTGAAAAAGTTGAAGTAGCTCTAATGACAGATAAGATTAGAGAGAGTTCTCTTAGATGGTTCAGACTTTTGATGACCCAATTAGGAGAGTAGTGTATTAGATTTGACCTATGTTAATAGATTGAGGTAGACCTAAAAAGACATGATTAAAAAAAAAGCAAAGATGACCTTTTTTTTATTAGATTTAAATAAAAAATTGACTCTTAACAAAATACTATGTAGAAAAAAAATCTTGCAGCCAACCCCACGTAGTGGAATAAATGCCGGACATAGTTGTTGTTGTACAAAAAACTCTTATAAAGCAAACAACAAAGCTCTTTAAAATTGAAAATGTATTTTATATATTGAGATAAAATTTGAGAAGAATATTTTAAGTTCAATTTTCATAGCAATTTATGTTAACAAAATTTTATGTTTAGCTTTAATTTTTTAGCTAATGGCAATATATTTGTTTATATTTTAGTGTTAAACCATAAATATATACATATTTATGTCAAATCTCAATATTAAACCTGACGATTGAAAACATACTTTGATAGAAACTTCTTAAACATCGTATCCAACATTGAAAAAAAAAAAAAGTGAAGCCATACAAACGAATTCCAATTTTAGTGCTTATTTTGTGCAAAAAAAAATTGCTTTAGATGTTCTACAAAACAAATATTATTATTTAACCAAAATATTGGAAATTATTAAAATTATTATTTTTAAAATGTTATTGTTGGACAAATATTATATTTATCTATTTTTTTAAAAGGATCCCTCTGTATTATTATTTAAAAATTATCAATAATGTTGATGGCAAAATAAAATAATAAATACAAATCTTTAATGGCGGATTTAATGAAGATGAAGGTGCAAAACCCTTCTAAATGTTAACTTAGGTGCATATAAAATAACTTCATATCAACAATCCCATGCTATTTACCATTTCTAAATGGTACTAATTCCCCTTCTAAAAGAAATTCTAATTCCATCACCGCACAATAACACAATAATAATGAACAACAGCAAACATTTTTTCAAGGTAGCAAATTAGCAGTCACAAAATGCTTCTCCCATAAAAAATACATAAAATACCCCCACACACTGCATAATTTCTACGACACTATGACAGATAAAGCGATCTAAATAATTTATTTCAGGCTTCATGAATAATGAGTACATAGTGCCTGTGAAATATGAGAAATTATTCTATGCAAAGTTCAGATAAGAACCATCCGGACTGTGAGTATACACAGTGTACAAATAATATGTACACTAATTTGATACACTGTACATAGCATGAACACTCACATATCCGGACAGTTCTTCCCATCCTAACTTCAACAACAACAACAAGCCCTTGTCCCACTATGTGGGATTAGTTATATGAATCCTTTTTCGTCATTGTGTCATGTTAAAAGTCAAATTCTCATTTAAATCTAATAAAGAAAGATCATTTCTAATATTTTATAACCAAGTCTTTCTAAGTCTACCTCTATCTTTTTTAACATAAGTCGAATCTAATACCTCAACTCCGCACAAAAAAATTTCTCGTGAAATATAGCAAGCTGTGGGTAAAAAGCAAGATATAGGGCATTAACAGTTAAGAATGAGTAGAAGAACAAACGCCGATGTAGCCCAGTAAGGCAGCCAGCAAGTTTCATAGCATACCATAGACATAAAATTCGTACAAAAAGCCAAACTCAATAATGGTGTAATGCACTTCAACCTTCCAATGCTAAACCTGGAAAATCATTATACAGGCAATTACGCTAAATGAGATTCAGGCCTGTATCAAATGGCATCCAAGGATGAAAGGTAGTGCAACAAGCCATGAGAAGCCATTTTTCTTTCAAGGAAAAAGAGCAAAAGAATGGGTAGACTCACTGCTCATCAATAGGAGTTGAAGTTCATCGTCTCTGAACTGGTTTATAGAGAACGACAGTGACAAACTTTGTGCGAATGCGGTGTGTGATCCCCAAAGCCACCACTGATCTCGGACTCTCCCTGTTCTCTATGTATAAGTGGTTTAAGGCCACATTTTGCGGCGACGGGAGGCTGCCGGAACCTTCCTGGCTTGCTGGGTAGCCCAGTAATGTGTGCTGCAGGTGAGGAGGAGCAAGCGGCGGATCTCGGGCTTCGTCTTCATTTCCTGGGATGGGGTTGTTGTAACTAGACTCTGGAGATCTTGGGACTTCAAATCCCATTACACAAGTCCCACCATCCTGCATCAAGAACACTGATAAATTTTGTGTAAAGAAGTGGGAATAGAAGTGGACAAGTATCACATACTTGATCTTGTGTATTTAAACCATCCATCATTATAAGAAAAGCAATCAATGAGGCATGGAGAAGGCAAAAGCCTGCATATCAAGAAAAAAGAATCAAATAAATCAATCAAATGTCAATACACAAAGAAAGTATCATGTTTTCTAGGTTAGGAAACAAGATGAACAAGAAAACGTATTAAACTGAAAGTTATTTGGCAAATAATGTCTTAAGGAGTTGGAAACAAAGCTTAAGATTGGCAGAGTTTGATGTATCAGGAATGGCAAGGCCACCTATATAGGTTTGGAACGGTTTTTTTATTGCTTCTTAAGACAGCTTTTTAGTTTTAAAACAAAAAATATTTATACTAAAAAGCTGCTTTAAGAAGCAGTAAGAAAGCTGTCTCAAATGAAGCCATAATCTAGCAAGTACACGGGTCAGATCTTTGCTCACGATGCTCATAGTGGTGACTTGAAAAAGGATTTTGAAGGGTTAGATATAAAATCACCAGCTTATGACATACAATAAATAATCAAATGTAAGATTAGAAATAAGGCAGCTAGAAATGGCAACCAGAAATATATGTAATAAACTTAACAACAAGACAAAAAACTTAAAAAACAACAATTCTGCCCGAGATTCGAATAATTCTTTCAATATTCCTAAAACAGCAAACATTAGCTACGGAATGAAGCATGGTCATGGAGTGAAAGAAACAAGATAACAGTCATAGTTAGTAAAAACTGTGCAAGACAATGTAATAGAAGGTAGTATTCACATTATTGAACGTGCGAGCAGCAAACAAGAAACAATCGCTTGAACCAACTAAAATGCTATAACGACAAAATTAAGTTCACATCTCCTTTTTCTTTAAGACGGGGCAGCAAGTCGTTAGATTCATCAACAATGAAGACTTTATTCTTAATACATTTACAGAAGATCGAATTATTTTGACAGCACTAATGAGGCCCTCTTCAACTCAGAACAAATCACTGTGATGCATGGCCAAAGCAAGGGGATAAACAATATGATAAGGTTTTAAAAAAAAAAAACAAAAGATGAGGACATGGTCGAAGAGAGAGAATATTTAAACAAATAACTTGATATGGTTTCTCTGTTTTTTTTTTTTTTGGCATTATCTGATCATGTGCAAATTGGGTATCAAGGCACAACTTCTTCAACTATGAGAAGTGAAGATGTGAAATAAATTGTGGTTAACTCAACAAGCTTATTATGACCCCACTCCAAGTAAACATGTGAAATAAATTGTGGTTCAGTGCCATCCAAAGTGGACCAACCCCTCAAGGATTACAGGTCCAAGTGACTCAACAAGAGCTTAAGTCTAATGTGACACTAATAGATCCAGTGTGGTCCAAATTCACTCGATAATCTCTTTTTAGGTCTCCACGTACATAGGCCCGCTCTGATTGACCAAACTAGTCCTAATGAGTCCCAATCTAAATCCAACTGACCTAGTCAGGCTAGTTGAGCTTTATGTCTACTAGAAGTACAATTAGGCCCTCATTAATCAACCTGGTGGACCTCTTTGCCCAATAAATTGACATCCAAACCCCTAAGGCAAACCAATTGTTACGCTAAACTCAAGGTCAAACCCAAGGTCCAATTTGATTCCAATTCGAGCCCATGCCTCAACTCAAACTTGAAACTATACTTAAATCAAATCTAGTCAATGCACAAGTCTCTCACACTCAAACTCAAAACTAAAGTTGACTATACTAATTCAAACTGAAAATAAAAATGGGGCCAAAATTGAGCTGGTTTAGCTTCTTCATTCTTGAAAATAGAAAGCCCACTTTCCAACAAAAGGAGATCCCTCATTAAACTGATTTATGGATTCCTAAATCTTAGCCAATTTTATACAAAGACAAGCCCAGAATTAACTCAATTTAATCTCACATTGTTTAATCAAGACAAGGAGTTCAATTGATCAGCTTAAATTAATGACAACTCCACCATGCGAACCTAACTGGAACATAACTACATTTCACTTAAGTCGATTCAATTATATGATACATCCAAAAGTCAGACTCAAACTTATGATTAATCTGAATCCATAACCATTCCATTTATTGTTACTTGTCTAATAAAGCCAAATAGATTTGATCAACCAACTTAACGCTTAGGTTAGGCTTGATTTAGGCTTGATTTATCAATATTTAAACTCGTTTATTGACTACTAAAACCTGGCTCGAGCATAATTGCACTGTGATCTTTCTAAGTGTATAGCCCCTACCCTTGGAATCTTTCACTTGGCTGCCAACACTTATCATATAAACATCATTACACGACTCATTTATCTCTAGTTCTCACGTAAGTGTTCATCTGCACATGCTCTTCACCAAATATCTTCAATAATGTTTGAAGAGGTGGATTTTAGCACGTGACATAATAAGCACTGACAATTTGAGCTGCATCTTTGGGTTCAGCTGAAAGAGATCATCAAGATAGCCACTTGTCACACCAACAGCCATCCACATGCACGTGTCATCCACAACCTACTACACCTACTCATGCATGTAGGAGTCAGAAACTCCTTTGCATGACTCTCCTAACAGCAGCCACAAGCAAGCTTCTGGCATGAACTTTTTCATGACAAACCTAGTTGCACTTGCAGTGGCAAAATTACGACTCCCAATGCAACCTAACCAATGGAGTTCACGACATTGTTATTATATCCATTGTAAGTTTCATTTTCAAAATGATAGGTACCCCACCCATTACCTCGCCTTGGGTCTTTGTTGCTCAAGAATAGCATGGCATTCCTTTATGAGCTTTGTATCCTACCCAATACATGGAGGGGATCTATTGATTCATCAATGAATTTCTGTCAGCTCTCAACATACGCTAGTAGAATGTTAAAATTTCAAGGAGAATGGGTACAATCAAGCAAAACATACAGAAACCACATATATCCACATTATTGGCCACAACTCATCAAATAATGTCACTGCACATGAAAATAAGGAAATCCTTAAATTCTCTTCTTACACATTCAAAGCATGCTAGGTTGAAGGCCCCTTATGCGACCACTCCCCTTAGCTCAAGATCACCTAGGATCTCAATATCCTAGAGCTCTCCTCTTATGCTATTTCCAACACCCCTACACATCATTATGCCCAAACATTAGCCAACAAGTCTCAGAGAGTTTTCTCTACCTTCAAAAGATGTTATGTTGTCCATATGTATAGTGATTAGCTGGTAGACGATAGTTGGGAGGAACCTCATGAAAAGGATAAATATCCCCATTAGCTCGATGTTACATGCCTAACTGCATGGCACATCAAGTTGCCTGCTAATTCTAGCCATCAAACTTCAAATGAACAACTGTGATACCATCACATCAGTACATTAAAGGACTAATAACAAAAATCAAAGGATGTTTTAGAATGACTTTAAAATTAATTAACCAATGATTAGTCATAAATCATGAATTTTACTAATCAACAATTTAAAGTGACACCGCAACCACCCTTAAACCAAGCCCGACTTTATAAACACCTTAGACCATTCTGAGATCCACTAAGTTCATGTGACAAATGTTTGGAGGCGACACTTATGTGACATTAACCATGAACTTTAAAATAAAGTCAAATTTTTAACATTATAGTATTAGGAGTCTTCCTGTGCAAATCAACAAAGGTATGGAACCCCAAACTCAATGACATGAGATTCACTAGATTTGCATATTATCATCCCAATATACTCAAGATATATGAGAGAAAACAACCACATACTTTCTAATCAAACTCATTGAATAATTTAACCTTCCAACCCTCCACTAATAGACTAAGCACACAAGGTCAACTCTGAACAATGAAACAATAGGATATTGATTGGGTTACCATCCATCCTCACCCAACCCCCTACTATAAACCAACTACCAGCCACGAATCCATAGCATAATAATCCTTAATCAAAAGTGTTCTCTGCATTATATCGAAGATATAATTAATGATCCATTGCCATTCTCTCAACATTATTTCAAAAGCATAAAATGATAGGCTATAATGGATTAAGAAAGATTTTTTGACTTTTTTGTTCAAAATTGATCAATTAATTAATTAGAGTTGATATTGATAGATTGGAACCGCTAAATCAACTTGGTACAACAAAACTAGAAAATCTTACTCAGGCTAGCAAGCATCCTCATCCAACCCGTCATTATATACCATCTTTCAACCACCATTCCAGATCACAATAAATGTTCTTCACATCATTTCCCATATGTTCTTGATATTGAACATTGGAAATCTCTCAAAAATGTTGTTGAAGCCCATAATAAAAGGCTAGAATGTTTCCGACTTTTTTTTTTCAAAATTTATCCATCAATCAATTTAAGGTAATCAGTTTAAGGTACCCCAAGCCTTATTTTAAGCTATAGATGACTTTTCCTTAATCGTTTTCACCTGTTGTAAACAATAAGTTTACCCTTTACTTTTCTATTCCTTCTCGAAACAATGCAAAGTGGTGTTCCAACTCCTATTGTTAGCAAGAAATAGCACAACATTTAGTAGTGAATTTGCAAGCAAGTAACAACAACTGAGCACCAATGGAGTAGTAATGCAGCAGTGGCAGAGTAACAAGGCAATGGCAAGAATAGCAAGCCAACAACAACACAACTTCCAAAAAGCAACAATGGATGGTATCATCAGGCAAACAATTGCATCAACTGGCAGTCCGACAGAAAAAACCAAGCAAAACCCAACAAACATTGGCCTTTTGAAGACTTCAAGTGGCATCAACAACAACTATATGATAAACAGTAGACATTAAGGGCCCTCCACCAGTAACATGAATAGTTCTACACCTTTTGGAGTTTTGCAAAAGACTTACAAATGGAAGAAAGAAAGGAAAAAGGAACAAGGATTTTAAAAGGTTTTTTTATTCATCTATTATAAGAAATAAAGCTTATTTATGAAAAGCTACTAAAGAACATAAATTCTCATCCAATCCTAAATAAGCTCCACAAAAAAGTGAATCCTATCTCAAACACAAACTTAATTATTTCAAACTAAAGATAATTTCAACAGCAATTATCCCAATCTGAATTTAAATTCAGATAAAAAGTTATCCA